TTTGTGCGTCTGTGCATATGTGCGTTTGTGCGTTTGTGTGCTTGTGCGTTTTCGCGTGTGTGCGTGTGTGCATTTGTGCGTTTGTGCGTTTGTGCGTTTGTGCGTTTGTGCGCTTGTGCGCTTGTGCGTTTGTGCGTTTGTGAGTTTCTGTGTTTCTCTGCTTCTGTGCTTCTGTTATGATGTGTTTCTGTGTTTGTGTGTGTGTTTGCGTGTTTGTGTGTGTTTGCGCGTGTGTGCGCGTGTGTGCGTGTGTGTGTGCGTGTGTGTGCGTGTGTGTGTGTGTGTGTGCGTGTGTGTCTGTTCGTGTGTGTGCGTGTGTGTGTGCGTGTGTGTGCGTGTGTGTGCGTGTGTGTGTGCGTGTGTGTATGTGTGTGTGCGTGTCTGTGTGTGCGTGTCTGTCTGTGTGTGTGTGTCTGTGTGTGTGTGTTGGTGAGTGTGTTTGTGTGCGGGTGTGTGCGGGGGTGTGCGCGCGCCCCCCATTTGTTTTCCCGATTCTGGCTTCTGGGGCCTTCTTATAAGGCTTTTGGGGCATGAGCCAAGAATGGATCCAGGACGGACAGAATTGCTTGTGCGAAGGTGCTGGGATGATTGGGGCCGCGGCTGGAATGATGCATTCGAGGATGTCTGCGGGCGGGGTGGCAGGCGCCACGATCCGAGAAGTGTTGCGCAGACTTGCGGGGTCCGTGGCTTGCGCCGCGTTTGTGTATTATGATGGTTGCTTGGAATGCCACAGAAAATCGTGAGGCGACGTCTGCCCCGACAAAATCAGCCAGCACACGCACTACCTTATCTGAATCTAGGCGCTCCGGCGCTCCCGCCGCGCTTCTACAGGGGTCGTTCTCCGGGACGTATGCAGCGTCTTGTCTCAAGGGGACAGAAGCCACCCAGACCCCGACAATTGGCGTTTTCTAGACGGCCTTGGGCGTTTACTACGCAGCCCTGTCCTGTTCGATTCCTTCCCTTGATGCGTTTATTCAACGGCTTCGCTTGTCGCGGTGGTTGTTCTGGAGGGTGGATTTTATGCCCTCTATTGTCGTCTCTCGTCTCGTCGCCTTCTCAGGCCCGCTTCGGCCCCCCGCGCTCTGAGCCCGCCTCTGGTTGCGCGCTGCGGGCTTCTCGTCTGCGCCCCCTCGCCCGACGTGTCCCGCAGAGCCTCGCCTCGGGCCCGGGCACTCGGAGGAGGAAAGGGTACCCATGCCTCGAAGAAGAAAAGATGCCACATGCATAAACTTTTGGCGCTCCGCGCGGAGTCCTTGGACTTGGCATCGCTCGGACGTGTGCAGTTTTCCTTCGGCGAGGACCATCGAGGAGCATCCTTGATCATTTGGCGAAAAAAAACACGCACGAAACCGAGCAAATGCACAGGGAATGGACGTCCGAGCGATGGCGAGTGGATCCGACCTGGGCCCCCTCGAGCGGCGCCTCCGGCGCCGTCCCCTGGCGCGCGCTCCGCGCGCCACGCAGAGGGGGGTCCAGCGCAGATCCAAGAAATCCCCCCTCCCCCTCCCCTTCCCCCTCCCCCTCCCCCACCTCCTCCCCCTCCTCCTCCCCCCCCTCCCCCTCCCCCTCCCCCCTCCTCCTCCTCCTCCTCCTCCTCCTCCTCCTCCTCGCGGAGCGCCAGAAGTTCATGCATATGTCTATATGTCGTTTTTCCTTTTCCGTTCCGTTGTTCCGCTTTACGTTTTCCGTACCGCTACCCTTTCGGCTGTTGTCCGTTCTTGGTCTGCCTCTCTCGGGAGGCCCCTCGTCGCCAGCGCTGGATTCGCTTCGAAATTCTGGTCAGAGCACACCCCGGGAGAGGTCCGGGGAGTATATATAGCTGTGTCGGGACTTGTTGGCGTCCCCAGGCATGCTGGCGTCTGGGAAAGAGAATTCACGAAGGGCGGTGCTTGGCGGTTTTCTGCCTCCAGGGGCCTTCGCTGGGCTTCGGGACCCTCATTACAGTCAACCCGCATAGTAAGGATGGGTAACCTATAACCTTCCCAAGGCCACCCTTGCATCGTTGCCTCCTCGGTCCATCCTTGGCCACTTTCGTTGGCCGCGCCCTGCTCGAAAAGCTTGGAGATGGGCAGCCCAGTCCCTGGCATCCTTGCCGCGCATCCTTGGCGATACGGGTTGACTGCGCGCGATTCAGGGTGAAAAAGCCAGCCCGTGGGAAAGGGTCGGGACTGCCGGGGACCGCGTTTCATCGCGTCCTGACCGATCGAGCGCCCAGGCATATCCCTCGGCTGGCCCCCGTCGCTACAAAGCACAACGGGGTCCCGAGGTAGACGGGGTCCCAGTCTCGGACGAGCAAGAGGAGTCATGATGATGCGTGCAACATCATCAAACACGTGTGGCATGGCAATGGGGTTCTCACCAGTTTAGCTTTCGCAAGTCGTCGTTGTCGTCGTCGTCGTCGTCGATGGCGTCGTCGTGCGACGACGACGACGACGACGACCTCCTCTTTCCTCGTCATACGTCCCTCGTGCGACTTGCCGGGACAATCGTTTATTGTCCCCCCGAGACCCCGAGCTGCATGCTCCCCCGGGTGGTGTGCTCAGCGGCACAGGGTCAGCACTCGCCCTGGAGTTCCCCGGGGCCTCACCGGGATCGGGCTTCTCATCCCAGGTCGCTCCCTGGCGGCCCCGAGGCCTGTGCCCAGGAGCCCTCGCCACCAGGACGCGCTCCCAGACCTCTCGAGCAGGAGATCGACCACATAATCGATTTGCCCCACAATGGAATGTTTCATCTAACATGTAATGAAAGAGAGTTCTGGGCCTCCTAGATGGTGTCGGAGTAGATGGGGTCCGAGGATCGCGCCGCTTCGCCTATGCATCGGCGATGTATCGGCGATGCGGCTCGATGTGGAGCCCGATCTTCTCCGCGCCGACGTCGCCGATGCATCGCCGACGTCGACCATGCATCGCCGATGCATCACCGATGCATCGGCCATGCGGCGCGATCCTGCGATCCCATCTACCCCGACCCCATCTGCCATCTAGGAGGCCTGTTGTTTGGAATGTGTCATCGAACATGTGAAGAACGTAGGGTGCTCGTGCATCGACGAACATGTGACATATGTGTTGCGTATTTGACGCCAAGTGCCAAATTTGGGGCACACCATTTTTGCAGTCGATCTCTTACTCGAACATCCTCTGGTGTTGTTTGTTCGGTCCCCGCCCCCAGAGCTCCAGATCCCCGCCCTGCGGGTAGTTCTGCGCCCCGGATCCGCTTTCGATGGCCCTGGGTGGGCCCCGAGGACCAGGGAAAGACTCGGCCGGGCGAACTTCGGCGAGGCCGGACGCGGCAAGCCGAGCCCAGCCTGGGCGTTGCCTAGCGGGGTGCTCGTACATGGGGGGGTGGCGAGGGTGGTCCGAAGAGGTACCCAAACGGTACCTAAACGAGCCGCTTTGGGGCTCCGGAGGGGCCCGAAGGGGGCGCGAAAGGGGACCGTTTCCCGAGCATTTTCTTTGGGTGGAGGGCAAAGGGTGAAATCTGAAATGCCGTTTCGGTTGAGTTTCGAGGTCTGAATCTGCAAAAGGCGAAAATCACGAGACGGATCGATCTTCGAGGTGCAAGAGCGCACATGGATTTCACCCGGAGCCCTCCACCCTGAGAGAATGCTCAGGTTTCTGACCCCGCCAGGTATTCACCACCCACCGAACCACCCCAACCCAACCCAACCCGAAGGTCTCGATTTGCCCTCCATTTCCAGTTGGGGGGGGGTCGGGGAACATCGAGAAAACACGTATGGAACCCGTACCCCCCCCAACCCGAAATTCGGGTCTTCGGGTTGGGTTGGGGTGGTCTGGTAGGTAGTCAGGTACGACCCCCCCCCCCCTGTGGGAGCCACGCCCACTCGGCGAGGCGGGGCCTGGCCCGGGCCGCACTCGGCCCGTGGCCGGGCGCAGTCTGGCCGAGCTCCGCCGGCCGAGCTCGGCCTGGCCGAGCTTAGAGCTGTAAGTCGGGCGCGTCCCTCTGCAGGAGGAGTCTTCAAAGATAGCCCCAATAGAAGTCAGGGGGCGATTTTTCTAACATATTTTTATATAAAAAAGAAAAACAAATCAGGGTTCTTCAAACAAGTCAGGAGTCTTCAAAGATAGTCAGAAAAGTAGTCTTCAAAGAGTCAGGGGGCGATGTTTCTTGGATTTGTGACTCTTGTTTGATATGTTTTGGACCATGCTTGCGTTTTCGCCCAAGACCCGCCTGTAGGAGGACGTGCCCGACCTCAGCCTATAGCTGCTGCCCCGCGAGCGGCCCCCAGCCCAGCGGGCCGAAGTCGGGGAAGAGCGCCCGGACCTGGGGCGTTCCCTCCGGACATGCGACGTCCTGACTTTTCGGGGGTGGACAGAGCCCCCAACAGTGGCACGTCGATCAGTGAATTGCCCGTTGTCGGCTCTCGGGAGGGCGCCGTGGCCGCTATGTTCCAGGCTTGCGCCCGCCAGGTTTGGGCTTCGGGTCGTTTTCACCAAACCACGTTTTACTAAAGTGGGGTCTGTCCAACCCCGAACTTTTTCAGGACGGCATCCCTGTGGGAGTCCCGGCCCTTTCCCCCGATCGAAAGGACTATCAAGCCTGCTCGGATGCTACTGCTGCGCTTGGCACACAAACCACATCAGCATCCGAGCAGGCTTGATAGTCCTTTCGATCGGGGGGCCGGCTTCTCATCCCTCGAGCCGTTCTCGGACGGTCTGGGGGGGGGGCACGGCGAGGGCCGCCCGCGGGGCAGACGTGGGCCTTAAAAATGTCCCGTCCTGCTTTCAGGAGGAAACAAAAACACACAGACACAATTAGTCGTCGGCCCCCAGGAAATTATGGGAAAATATTGGAAGTGGGGGGGAAGACAAGAACCCAGAACATATGGGCAAATGTGGGGAATCTCATGATTTGTGTGTATTCATTTGTGTGTCCCAGGGCCCCTTCACTCTTGTGACGGCGCGAGCAGGTCTGGGATGTCGTCGCAGATTCGGGCTGCCCCCACCCGCGGCAGCTCCCGGCGCGCTCCCCCTCGCCGCGCCGCTCGAGCCTCGAGGGCCCCAGGGGAGGGCGGGAGGGCGCCGCCCCGGTCCCGAGCGTGCGCAGGCGGCGCCGCTCGGGCCCTGCTCCCGGGGGGGGGGGGCCGGCTGGCGCCATGGTCAAGATCGCCTACGAGGATGGCCCCGTGCTCAACAAGGCGGGCACCCTCCGGCGACTGCGCCGGGTCTTGGCATCGCTCGGACGTGTGCATTTGTCCTTCGGCGAGGACCATCGAGGAGCATCCTTGATCATTTGGCGACAAAGCCACGCACGAAACCGAAAAGCAACACAGGGAATGGACGTCCGAGCGATGGCCAGGGGTGGGGTTGCGCCGGGCTGTGGTCTGCGATCGGCGCCGCTGGGGCCTGGGGGGCACGACGCCGTCCTCGTCGGGCCGCCTCGGGGGGCGCGGCGGCAAAAACTATATCGAGGCACCCGCCCACCCTCCAGGGGGGCCCCGCGGGGTGCCGACTGCAGGCCGCACCCTTCTGCAAGCCACGCCCTTCCTTCGGAGTCGCCGGCGCCTGCGCAGAGCACCGAGCGCGTGCCACGACCCGCGGAGTACCTACTCGCAGGAGGGGAAGAACCACACAGACACAATTAATCCCCTATTCCCCAGAAAATATAGGAAATATGGAAAGTGGGGGGAAGACAAAGACCCTAAAAATATACGGAGATATGGGGAATCCTGTTATTTGTGTCTATTCATTTGTGTGTCTCAGGGCCCCTTTCATACTCGCAAACGTCCTGGAACAGGTGACAGGAAAACATGTCTTCCTCGAACATGTAGTAAATCGTGGAGCCCCCGCGGAGGAGTCGGGCCGTTCGCGAGCAGTTGCTCTGCGAGCAGTGGAGCGCGTGGAGCCCCCGCGGGGGAGTCGGGCCGTTGGCGAGTTGGTTACTTTGCGAGTAGGGCGCTTCTCTACCAGAGGCTCGTTCCGGGGGGCCTCCCTGGGGCCCAGGGAGGAGGGAGGAGGGAGGAGGGAGGAGGGAGGGGGGAGGGGGGAGGAGGAGGAGGGAGGGGGAGGGGGGGGGAGGGGGGAGGGGGGGGGGGAGGAGGGAGGAAGGAGGAGGGCGGACCTGCTCGACTCTGGTTCGACTTGGTTTTTCGACTCTGGCTCGACTCCAGTTCGGCTCCTGTGCGGCTGGAGTTCGTCTCCCGTCGACGGACGTTTGACGCCGCGTCGGCGCACGTGGTGGAGCGAGAGGCCCCAGGACAGGCCCCCAGAACGAGCACCGAGTCCTCCTCCTCCTCCTCCTCCTCCTCCTCCTCCTCCTCCTCCATCCTCCTCCTCCTCCTCCCCTCCCTCTCCTCCTCCTCCTCCTCCTCCTCCTCCTCCTCCTCCTCCTCCTCCTCCTCCTCCTCCTCCTCCCCTCCTCCCCTCCTCCTCCTCCTCCTCCTCCTCCTCCTCCTCCTCCTCCTCCTCCCTCCTCCCTCCTCCCTCCTCCTCCTCCTCCCTCCTCCCTCCTCGCTCCTCCCTCCTCCTCCTCGCTCCTCTCCTCCTCCTCCTCCTCCTCCTCCTCCTCCTCCTCCTCCTCCTCCTCCTCCTCCTCCTCCCCCGAGATCTGGGCGTTGCAGCTTTTTTTGTACTGGGCGTTCTCGCCCAGTTTGGGGCCCCGGGGGCCATCACAGATCGAGCCGGCTCGAGCAATGTTGCGCCGTGAGGATTCGGAAGGTGTCCAGACGTTCCCAGAAATGTCTGCAGCGGGCAGGGCGTGAAAAAGATGGGGGTATGAGAGAAGAGGGCGGATGATCAGTGCAAGTCCGACAGGACCGGATAGGGCAGGATGGCAACGACGACGACGACGGTGGTGATGATGTTGATGATGTTGCTGTTGATGGTGGTGATGTTAATGTTGATGCCAATGTTGATGTTGATGATGGTGTTGATGATGCTCTTGATGGTGGTGTTGATGCTGCTGCTGCTCATGCTGACTGATGAGTGGTGACTGATCGTGATGATGATGAGGGTAATGATGATGAGGAGGAGGATGAGGATACTGATGTTGCTGTTGATGGTGATGATGATGTGGAGGATCAGAAACAGGATGAGGATGAGGATCAGGACGAGGATTATGATGATGAGGGTGAGGATGAGGACGAGGATGGTGAGGATGAGGGTGACGATGAGGAGCATGATGATGATAATGATGATGAGGAGGATGGGGAGGATGAGGATGAGGATGAGGATGAGCATGAGGATGATACTGCGGATTATGATGGTGTTGATGATGATGCTGATGCTAATTCGCAGGGTGATGATGCTAAGGAAAAAGGAACATATGAGGATGATAATAACGATGATGGTGATGGTGATCGTGATGGGTTCTGAGATGATGATGACGATACTGATGCTGCCGATGATGATGCTGGTGATGGTGATGGCGATGATGATTATGCTCATACTGATGATGCTGACGATGATGATGCTGATAATGCTGATACCGATGGTGATGATGATGCTGATGATGATGATGATGATGTTAATGATGGCGATATTGACATTGATGATGCTGTTGATGGTGCGGGCGACGATGTGACTATGGATGCCGTGTTACGGTTATTGTTGATGTTGGTGGTGACTAATATGATGATGTTGATGATGGCGAGTAGGTCGACGATCTGTTATCCACCTTCAAGCTTTGATCTCTCGCATTGTTGGCAGGCATACGCGCGAGCACCTCTATCGGGTGTGCGCCATGATCTGTTCTTGCTCCTCCTCCGCCGAATCCTCTGCCTTCTCCGCCTCCGCTGCATCCTCCTCCGCCGCATCCTCATCAACCCTCTCTTGTTCCCGATCTCGGATGGAGGAAGGATAAGTGAGGATCTCTGTCCTCTTCTCATGGCCTCGTCGTCGTGCCTGGACGCGGCTTTGCAAAGGTTCAGGAGGGGTCTGAGCACGGTGTTGAGCGGATTTTGAGAAGGACTTCAGTACAGCCTCGATTTGAGTTTGGGGGCCTGTGTTGATGCTCCTCCTCAACGCCCAGGAGCCCCAAAACCTTGCAGGCCCACCCCCAAACACGAAGTCAGAAGCCTTTCAGATCTTGCCCTCCCCGCAATCCCCCTCCTCGTCGGGGCAAGGAGGCTGCCTGACCAGACTCCAGTCCCACAGGTCCTCCTTGAACCCCCTCTTCTCCCAGGAGGGAAAAAAGCACACGGACACTGCGAATCGACGATTCCGAGGAACAGAAAGGAGGCATTGGTAAGTGGTGGGGGGGGGGGCAGACGAGAAAAGCAAGACAAGATGGGAGAGAACGTGGGGAATCCTGGGATTTGTGTGTGTGTGTGTTGTGTGTGCGTGTGTTCGTGTGTGTGTGTGTGTGTGTGCGTGTGTGTGCGTGTGTGTCTGCGTGCCCCTGGGCCCTCCGCTCGCCTCCGCGCCCTGCTGCTCCCGCCGCTTGCTCCCCGCCCGCCACCCTGGGCCGCGCCTCCTCCTCCTCCTCCTCCTCCTCCTCCTCCTCCTCCTCCTCCTCCTCTTTCCCCTTCTCCTCCTCCTCGTAGCCTCTCTCTCTCTCTCTCTCTCTCTTCGGCGAGCGGGCTGCGCGCGCCGCTCGCGGAGAGGTGTCGCGCCTCCTCACCCAGCCGAAGGAGCAGGGCGCCTCCCAGGCGCGCCCGAAGGGGGGGGGCCCGTCGGAGGGCCGCGCGCCGCTCCGCTCGCGGGGGGCACCTCGGATCCTAAAAGGCGGGCTGGTCCCTCTGCAGGCGGAGTATGCGAGAATGGTTCAAACAAAAATAGTCTGGGGACGTTTTCTGAGGTATGGGTTGAGCATCTGTGGAGTATGCTCTGGGTATGCTTCACGATGCGCCCCAGATCCGCCGGTAGGGGGGCACGCCCGACCCGATCTTTTTATCGGGGGATGGGCACGGTGGGGGGGAGGTCTCTGGACAGTTTCGTCTTACAGGTTTCTGAGGTTTCGGCATGTCTTCGGGAGTGTTCGGATCTCGAGGGGGTCTTCATCGGCTGCGCCTCGCCGAGGGCGTCCCAGGGGTGCCAGAATCGTCCTGAACGGCCGCTGGAGAACCAGCTTATGACCCAAGAACCGAGGAGAAGCGCTAGGGGGGGGATTGGGCTCAGGGGTGGAAGCATCGATCCCCACTCGACCACCCGTCGTCGATGGTCGTTTTCTGATTCGTTGTTTTGCCCATCGGTGCGGGCGCTCCCCCCCCGTGGAGCAGACCTTGGGTGTTTGTGGCACCTGCTTCAGGCAGGCTCCCACAGGATGCCCTGTTGCAAACAGTCGCACTCAGCAGAGGTCCGGAGCCAGAACCCTCCCCCTCCTCCCACCCCCTTCTGCCCCATGCCGAAGCACCGAATGAGAAAACGTTAACATACCAGGGGCAGCGCTAAGGGGGGATGGGCATAGGGGGGCATGCATCGACCCCCAATCGCCCATTGATCGCCGATAGGGGCCCGATAGCCCCAACCTGCCCAGGAAGGTACGGATTCACCGTCGGAGGCCTATCGCCGATCTATCGGCGATGCATCGCCGAGTCCAGGTCGATGCATCCCCCCCCTGTGCTAGCCCCCCCCCCCCCTTATCGCTGCCCCTCAGCATATAGGGGCACGGCCGCCCTCCCCCCGCCGGGGAACCGCCAGATATTCGCCATCGGGGGCTTGCGGCCTCTCTATAGCTCGGCCGCCTGGCGCCGAGCCCAGCTCGCTGTTTCGGGCCGGCCGAAGGGAGGGGATTGGGAAAGGGGGACACGCCCGACATAAGCGCAGGAGGCGCCGAAGCCCGACATAAGCGCAGGAGGCCGAAAGGGGGTGATTGGGAAAGGGGGGGTTACGAAATTTGCTGCATGCAGCTGGTTTCGGCCTCACCGAGGGGCCCATTCCTCGCTACATATAGCTCCCTCCGGCGCCGGGAGGCGCCGGGAGAATCAGCTACGTGAGCTGATTCTCAAACCCGCCCTGTGCTATCCCCCCCTTCCGCCCGACCCGACTGCTGTTCCTCCCGGAGCTGGCCGCCCCCTTCGCGGGTCCCCCTCCGGCTCCTGCTCTCGACCCCCGTGCTTGGGGATCGGTTTTGCTTCTTCGCTGTGTTGCCGGTCGGCGCGGGCCCTCGCCCCCCCCCCTCTTTCCAGGGCTCGTTTCGATTCCCTCCGACTCGTTGCGATTCGATCTCGATGGCCTCCGATCCCGATTCGATTCGCCTTCGGATTCCGATTTGGATGCCGACTTGCAATGGAGGCCCACTAGCCTGCCGACTTCTGCCGTTGCGACTTCTCCCGACTTGGCTGCCGACTTCTGCCGATCCGATTCCTTTCGATCGCCGATCCGACTCGACTCATCGGCTCTCCTGCCCTCTCCGTCCCGGTGGGAGCAGGTCTTGGCTGTTCTTGGCGCCTGTCTCGCGAGCAGGCGGAGCCCCCCCCGTGGGACGCTCCGCTGCAAGCACTCGCGCGCGGAGCAGGTGGCCCGGAGCTAGACCCCGGCGAAAGCCGACCCCGGCGAAAGCCACCCCCGGCGAAACGAACCCCGGCGAAACGAAGCCCGGCGACACGAAGCCCGGCGAAAGCCAGCCCCGGCGAAGAACATCCGTGCCGAGCCAGAGCCCTCCCCCCCGCCCGCACCCCCTCCGCCCAGTGCCGCAGCGCCGAGCAGGAAGAAGACGCTCGCCGGCGGCCGCGCCTCGCCTGCGGTCTGGGCGCCGAGCTCCTGGCGGCCTCGTGCTGCTTTTGCGTCGCCCTCGCGGATGGCCCATGGCGCTCGGCGGAGGCGTGCAGTGCGGCGCGCGGCCCCGGTGCGGCACGGGGTGGTTCTTTCTCTCCCCATTCGGCCTGCAGGGGCCCAGAGCCCGACCCACGACCTGCTCGCGATCCGAGCGTCGTCGGAAGCCGGGACGTACGCGTTACCGGTGGCGGGCTGCATCCCAGGATCTCTACAGGATCGAGGACGAGGCTGGGGTGGTGTGGTGTATCAAAGTGAGGGGGCTGAACCGAACGGTCATTCACTGTCCCAGGGTGCGTGGCTGAAGTGGAATTCCGCGATGCGGATTGTTGTTGTTGTTGTTGTTGTTGTTGTTGTTGTTGTTGATGTTGTTGTTGTTATTGTTGCTGTTGATGTTGGTGTTGTTGTTGCTGTTGTTGTTGCTGTTGTTGTTGTTGTTGTTGTTGGTGTTGTTGTTGTTGTTGCCGTTGATGTTGTTGTTGTTGTTGCTGTTGCTGTTGTCGTTGTTGTTGGTGTTGTTGTTGTGGTGGTGGTGGTGGTGGTGGTTGTTGTTGTTGTGGTTGGTGTTGTTGTTGGTGGTGTTGTTGGTGTTGTTGGTGTTGTTGTTGTGGTGGTGGTGGTGGTGGTAATGGTGGTGGTGGTGGTGTTGTTGTTGTTGCTGTTGTTGTTGTTGTTGTTGTTGTTGTTGTTGCTGTTGCTGTTGTTGTTGTTGAATTCTCATTTCTAAAGAATGATTATTGTTGATCCCCCAACGATGCATATTGTTTTTTGTCAATCAAAGTGTGCCCCTCGACGCTCGCACCCTGTTGTTTGACGGGAAGTCTTGATGCTCAGACTGGGCCCGTGGCCCCCGGGTTACAACAACAACGGCTCCCGCTTGAGACTTCCTTGCAATTTAGCCAGGACTCCGCTTCCGCCCGAGACTTCCTCACATTTTATTCAGGAATCGCTCTCTCGCTTGGGACTTCCTTACAATGTATTCAGGAATCGCTCTCCCGGCGCTCTGGAGTCGCGCTCACGCTGGAGATTTGCTTGCAACTTACTGAAGAATGGCGTGGGAATTTCTTGCAATTTCCCCAAGCGCCGCACTCCCGACACCCAGGCACCCAGGAGTCGCGCCCGTTGTGGCCCCATGTGCATGCCCTTCGCGGCCCCGCTGTCGCCATTTGTGTCCCCCTCACTGTCCCACGTGGCCCAGTTGCTATCCTCAATGGCCCCACAGTTGCCTTCTGTGGCCCCGCATTATCTGCACTTCGTGGCCCCCGTTCGTTCCCGCTCTTCGTGGCCCCATACGCATTCCCTTCGTGTCCCCGCTGTCGCTCTTTGTGGCCTACTTCGTGCCCTTCGTGGCCCTGCTGTCGTTCTCTCTCGCTCTCGCTTTCGCTTGTCGTCGCCGTCGTCGTCGCCGTCGTCTTCGTCGTCGTCGTCGTCGTGGTCGGTCCCCTGTCCGTCCCTCTTGGGGTCGGGTCGACGGTCCGCGGCCGCCCCGCCGATCAGCGCCGCGACTGGCCAGGCCGACGGTCCGCGGCCGCCCCGCCGCTTGCCGGGGCCCGGCCTGCAGAGAAGAAAGGCATACCCCCCAAAAGGGACTCGATCGAACACGAAGAGAGCGGGTATCGAGGGTTTGGGAAATACGCGTTATTGGACACTCGAGCAAATAAGGGCGAACAGTCTTAAAATTGTTGTTGTTGTTGATACAGGCGGGGCAGCCCCCCCCGGGGGGGGAGATGGGAGGGGGGGGGCGCGAACAACACAACACAACACAACGCAACCCTATAGGGGGTTTGCGTGTGTCCTCCTCCTTCCCCCCCTCTTCTTCCTCCCTCTCCTCCTCATCATCTTCGTCCCCCTCCTCCTCCCCGTCCTCCTCGTCCTCCTTCTCCTCCGTCCTCCTCTGCCCCCTCCCCCCCCCCATCCTCCTCGCCCTCGTCATCATCCTCCTCCCCTTCCTCCTTGCCCTCTTCCTCCTCATCCTCCTTCTTCTTCGTCCTCCACCTCCTGGTCGTCTTCTTCCTCGTCCTCCTCCTCCCCCTCGTCGTCGTCGTCGTCCTCCTCCTCCCGATCCTCCTCGTCCCCCCCGCCATCCTCTTCATTCTTATAATGTGTGCCACGACGGCTACTACTACTACTACTACTACTACTACTACTACTACTACTACTACTACTACTACTACTACTACTACTACTACTACTACTACTACTACTACTACTACTACTACTACTACTACTACTACTACTACTACTACTACTACTACTACTACTACTACTACTACTACTACTACTACTACTACTACTACTACTACTACTACTACTACTACTACTACTACTACTACTACTACTACTCTACTACTCTCCCACTACTACTCTTCTACTCCTACTACTCCTACTACTACTACTACTACTACTACTACTACTACTACTACTACTACGACTACTACTACTACTCCTACTACTACGACTACTACGACGACGACGACTACTACTACTACTAGTACTACTATTACTACCACTACTTCTACTAACAATACTACTATTACTACTACTATTACTACTACTACTACTACTGCTACTACTACTACTACTACTACTGCTGCTACAACTACTACTACTACTACCACTACTACTACTACTACTACTACTACTACTACTGCTGACTTTACTGCTAATATCACCTCTGCTACCATTACCACTAGTACTACCACCACTACCACTGCCAACATTATTTCTACTACACTCTGGTTTACAGCAGCAACAACCATTACTATTCTGACTAATACTACTACTACTACTACTACTACTACTACTACTACTACTACTACTACTACTACTACTACTATTACTACTACTACCACCACGACCACTACTATTACTGATTCGATTACGACTACGACGACGACGACGACTACTACTACTACTACTACTACGACGATTACTA